GTATTAAGATTGTATGAATGTACAAATGAGTTACAATAAGAATACTAGAGCGCTGACTCCACACGCGCAATCTTTTGTACTGCCAGCAACATAACACAACAAACATACACACGTTATATGCACGTTATCGTCTAGGTGTATCTTCCCAACCGGTATGTCAGTGTATAAGCGTCATTCAAGTATTATGTAACACATTTTTTGGCAAAAATTGACACCCCCACCGCCCCGTAACACTCTGTAACACTTTTCCAAACCCCCTCTAAATGTTATGTAACTCTAGAACTACCCCCACCCCCCGGGCCAAACATCAACAATTTTAATAAAATCAGATGAACAACATTAAGTATCAGGATAAATGTCCTCCACTACAAATTTGTCCTACACTACAAATTTGCAGAATTGATATTGAATTTTTATTCGTTACGAATTTTTACAGTAGTATTTTTCATTTGGGAAACAATTTGCTTGTTTCTCCATGTCCTCCACTGGTAATCTTTTGATAGTCACTATCGCTGTGTTCACGGACATATAGAGATTAACATGATAAAATACCTTCAAATTAGTCTACTAGGACGTAAGAAAGCTCCCACCCCACACTTTTATCTAGTATATAACATCGCATTGTCACGGCTGTTTTTGGTCTATCATGTCGTGATATAATCGAATGCAAATGTGGTTTTTCAATATTTAACCTGCTCTGGTGAATAATTGAATGCAATTTAACACCGCATTTAAAGGCAATTCATCCATTCGTTCGTTTCATTATTATTTTCTATTTATTGCAATTTCAGTGTTCAAAACCAAGACTAGTTGGCCATCAGGCGTCGTCGAGCGATGGGAATGCCGCTTTGTCGGTTACGATATAGGGGAATTATCACACTGTTTAGCCTTATGACCATCTATATATATTACTGTGTAATCCAGCTAGCAATTGATGTGTATGACGAAGACAAGTTCTATCAAGTGAGAAAAAATAATGTGCGGAACTTACGGACACCATCAGTAGCTTTTAATCAATCGAAGGTGCACAATTCAACCAACGATGGGAATTTGACTACAGTTGAAAATATAGCACACCAAGTAATTAACTGCACTCAGTGTGAGCATAAACAAGAATTTTCATGTAGAAATGTTTCTGATATTAGGATATTTTCAAGCCTTGGTCATGGCACAACGAAAGAGGTATTTCGCGGGAAGTACGATGGACGAGAAATGGCGGTCAAAATGGTGACTTCTAAAGTTTTGGACGTTAAAAAATGTCTGGAGAGGAAAATGTTTTGGAAACGAGAAGAGTGTTACCTATTAGCAAATTACAAGATTCTTAAGGAGATTTTATTTGTGCGGCAGTTACAGCACCCAAATATTCTACAGGTAGGCCTATGTCACTCTCCAGGTCATCTATTGCGCGCTTCACACAACAATCTATTACGCTACTGTGACAAACATGTGTTGGCTTGGTGTGGGCCTATTTATATATTTTTAATAGTCTGACTGCTCGGGGACTTAATCCCCCTTGTCGCCGCGCTGGCGCCGCCACTTCAAATAAATTAAACTTACAGTATTTATCTTATATAAAAGTATAGGCCTATCTCACTCTAACCAATTCATCGTTATATTTTACTCTTCCAGTCGATAGGTTATTGTGTTCGAAATGAGATAACTTCAGGTCGAGTTGTGGACCATGGTGTCATCTCCGTTACAGAGCTAGGAAAAACATTTAATCTAAACAAGTACAGCAGACTACCATGGGAACAGAAAATGAAGGTAACGACATACATACAATCATATAATTTCATTATTTTTTAAATCAAATAAATATTCTAAACAATTTTAAATGCTAATGCCCCAAATAATACAAGCTACAGTATTCTAATTGCTTAATCATGAATTGGTCTAAGTTCCAATGGAGCTTTGACCAATAGGCCTATATAAGCATATCAAACAATCATTCAATCAATCACCATCAGGGCAGGAATGGCGCCAGCGGGGGGATTTGGGCCAGGACCCCACCTCCAGGAGAGGCCCCCCCCCCCGGGAGAAAAACCACAAGGAGAAAAAAAAATTATATGTATTTTGTACATATTAGCAGACCCTAAAATCGATTAAATAAGCCTTTGAAACCCCTAAATTGTCAACATTTTCGGACTAGGGTACTTTCGAAACATTTTAAGCGACGCTCGACCACGCCCACTTTGCTCTCGTCGGGGGAATTGGCCCTCCGTCGGGCAAAACTTGGTGCCACCCCTGCATCAGCTGGGGCCAATCCAGATAGCACGGGGCTACCCCCACCCCAGAAAGAAAGAGAGAAGAGGAGAAGAAAGTCCATAAAGAGGGGAGCACGGTACCGTAGGCCTACTAAAAAACAAGCGCATTTTCGTTTTAAATTCCATGTACCATTAACACTATATAAATTTACTTTGCCTATTGTAGGTCACACCTTATTGATCACTTTCTCTTCGGGTCGTCTCACTATTATAGTTAGGCTTGAATATATCAACATAAAGACGGTTAAGTGACCAAATTGATTGATCTTTTTGATAAAGTGCCACTTAGATACCTCGAATTTATTTTCTCAGAAACACGATACTATGATAACGTATGAGGTATAGTGGGATTTATGTAGCGCATATAATACCAAAGTATCTAAATAAGGCAAATCTAAATCAAATGACCATCGTTAAGCTTGGTCAAATCAATTATAACAAAAACGTTTATCATCAAAATCCGAAGTTTTATTGATATAATTTTAACATGTTATGTATAATGCGTTTACATATAGGCACATAGGCCTATTAATAATAGGCATACCGGTCATGTATTTGATTCTTTATATTTATTGATGTTTTAGGAAAATTAATAGAAAATGTACCCTATTGTAAAAAGCGTCGTATTAGTGTTGGGTATTAGTGAGAGGGTCCTCTCCGGGACTCATTTGGGCTTGGAACTGGGCGTTGGACCAAGAAAGCACACAGGTGTTTCACAACTGTTTAAAGCTCCATTAAAGGGGCCCTGGGCCTAGAAAAGTACCGTATTGTAATGGCGTAAGTAGTAGATACTGGGTAGACAGGCCTAGTAGTAAGAGGGGCTTCAGCTCCGTGGCCTATCCTTGGCCATGGACTGAGACTGGGGCCCCAGGAAAGCACACAGGCGTTACGCCACTGTTGAGGATCAGTAGTAAAGTCCCCCCCCCCACACTCGAGAGATCACTGGCGACGCCACTGCTGTTGTCTCGATTTACAAGTAAGCCTATTCCTTGTTTTACTACTATATACAATAGATTGTATGATAGTTTTACTACTATCATACAATCTTATTGTTAAGCACATTGGGTTATTTTGTGTAAGGCGCTATATAAATCTTATTTATTATTATTATTATTATTATTATTATTATTATTATTATTATTATTATTATTATTATTATTATTATTATTCCACTCTAAAATTATTATTATTAGTATCATCATTATTATTATTAGAGCTACACGTCAGTCTGAGATTTCGTTCCATTGTTAGAGATATTCAATTTAGAGTATTCTTCCTACAAAAGAATGTACAGTAAATTAACATCGTTAAACCCTAGCATATCGATTTTATATGCTTAGGTTTATTACCGGTACTTTAGGTCATATTAATAACAAACGCAAGTTCTTTTGCTGTTTATGACAATACTGTAATTGTCATGACACGAAAACGTGTCTGAAAATTTAGTTGGGCCCGGGCCGGCAGCCCACAACACTCCCCCTCCCCCAATTTACTCCACCACTGGATATAGCATGATATGGGCCTATGTCCTACAGTCGCTTTCAAAGAAACATTATGTTGCCCTGGTGGGGCTGAGATACTATTTTAAAAAAATGTATGATCATGGCACGTCTAGATGGCCGATTAAAATGGATGATTAAAATTGTGAATATGATTTCAAAATTTTCTTATGGCAAATTTCTGGGTCGAAAACCGAAACAAATGTATGCACCCTGTCTCTTACCCCCACTGAATATGATATGATATGCCCTGCAGTCGATTTCAGAGCACATGTTTATGTATCAACTTTTTGGTGGGTGCTAGATCGAGGAACCAATGTGTACTTCGGGGCCCCTAGGGTCGGTGGTCCTGCGGAGAGAGCGTATAGGCGCTACGCCACTCCTTGCAATCGACGTAACAACTGGTTTATCTATAGTAGAACACAAATGTTATAACTCTCGCCAAACCCTGTGAAAGTGGTGGGTAATTATGTCAGGATCTGTTTTAGTCAGAAACGCAAGTTCATATTGAGGTATATTGTAATTGATGACTCGAAAACGTGTGTTAAATCTATAAAGCTTGCAGCATCGACGTTATTGTCGACTTATCCAGCAAACACGACATGTTGTCATAACATTCCTTGAAACTCTGTGGAAGGTTTCATGTCAGGAAAAACTGTTGATTTAGTCAGAAACTGCGTTGTAAATGATGTGGCTCTACAAAAACGTTATGAAAACCAAATAAGGTTATTAAAATAACCTTATTATAATGAAACTGTTAGCTGAGTATTTTTATAAGTTTACAAAGTTATTATGGTGACACAAAAAAAAAATTAAAAAAGACGATGTCGTGGGTGGGGGAGATAACAGGCCTAAGTAAATTATTTTAGTGTGTATGAAAGTCAGTTATCTATTGTGTTAGGAGAAATTGTTAGGAGCTACCACGAAAAAATGTATTCTATCAATTTAATATGTAGGCCTATTTGTATACAAGTTTTAAAACAGTATGAATGTATTTTAAAATAATAATATTAATTATTTTATTGAGACGATAAACCCTCATTAATTTATTTAATTTGCTTTCAATCAAACTGTCTACATTAAAAAACTAATAAAATGTTACATTGAACTAAAGTATTTAAGGAGAGTAAGCGAACTATCAATTAATCATTGTCGGGTCATTTGCTCTTTTTTATTCTAGAAACTTGTAAAATAATTAAATTGAAACTATATGTTCCTTTTTATTTCCACCATAGACCACAATCGAACTGCTGGATTTACTAGACTATTTCGCGCATTCTCCGATCGGCTCGCTGATCATGACCGACATAAAAACGTCACAGTTTCTCGTCGTCGGGGACAAGGTTAAACTAGGAGATATGGACGACGTCTCCAGCGAGGAAAAGAAATGTGAAACTAGCAAGGATTGTTACCTGGACAACAGAAACTATGGTACGCACGTTCTAATGTTCACGAGTTTGTTTAAGACAATAGGGCCATGCAGATGCACACAAACACATTGCAACAGCTTTTTTTTTTCTTGCTGATGTAATGCCCTACTGTAATTAGATTGTGACCTTCCATCTCCCCCCCCCCCACCAACCCCCCCACAAAACCACAATTTATAGGGGAGAAAAGCAATTATAGGTCTGTGTGTTTGTATAGACTCTAAAATCGATTAAAACCCATAGCCACAAGCTCATCGCTTTAAATTGACTGAAGCATAGGTCGTCCGAAGATTGCCACTATTTTGAAGAAAAAGGGCATAAAAACCCGCAAAATTATTATAGTTTTTGGTGGCATCAGCCCTGGACCACTTCCGAAGGGGACATCACCCCTACCCCGCCGGGGAAATCCTGGCGACCCCCAGCTACGAATTATTTAAATTTGACTGAAGCATTCTAATGAGGTCAGCATTCGTCCAAAGATTGCCACCGTTTAGAAAAAAAAGGCATAAAACCTCAAAAACATGTTTTAAATGATTTAATTAATTAATATTTGATACAGTAATTAGAGATATAATCGAGACTCCTGCCACCGGCACGGAGGCCTTTTGTAGCACCCCAGGCCCGCCATGGTTGTGCCTAAGGTAAGAAAAATTATGATTATGGCGCCAAGATCCAAGGGGGATAGCCGGAAATGACACTCTCGGACTTACAATTTGAATAAATTTTTTTTTGTTCTCATTTTTTTTTCTTTCAAATTTTGAAAAATTTAGGGTTGGGGGCCGGGCCGGCTGCCCCTCCCCCTTGAATCAGCGACTGCAGCTATGCGATTTAGGTTAGTGACACCAATTGCAACATATGCCTACACGCATCCATCGTATATAAGAATCAACAGTTAAAATCAATACAACACCTTGAAACCAATTCATTTTCTAGTGTTAACTATGGATTTGAACTATCATAAATTATTCTCACATTAGTTACCATGACAACACCGCATAATATTGCCACGTGAATTTGGAAAGGGTAAAATTAAAAAGATCTAACTGTTTAAGTGATGAAAGTGTATGCCTAACGCGACAAATCGATGAATACATTACCACGTTTGGCAGTCTATTGTTTAGTTTCAATAGGTTTGGCAGTCATTTTTTTTATTGCGTTGCTAAGTTATTATCATTATGAGAACCAAGACAAATAGGCCTAAGTAAGAAACGAGTTGGTTTTTGAATTGCTATCGTATACAGTAATTATAGGTCTGAAAAAATAATCAGTATACAGGCTTGTTTTTAAAGTCCTTAGTATTCCTGTTTTATTTTTTTTTGTGTTTTTTTGTGTTTCAAGTGGCTTAATTTATTATCGTAACATTAAAAAAGGCCCTTTTTTAAATGTGGTCATGTAGAACTATCAATCAAATAGGCCTATATAAAAAAAATCTACTGATTGGAAACAATTATTAACCTAATGGTTATTAGAATAATAGGTATTATTGTATTATTATTACAAAGTCCTTTAATATTTATTTGATTACAATTATGCGTCTGCTAATTGGCGAGATAATAATTCTCTTCCTAATTTCCAATAAAATAATCAACTCCATTAATATTAATAATATAGTATCAGTAGCAGCAGCAGTGGCAATAGTACAGTAAGTGGTAAATAATAATATGGGTACTAATAATAATAATATTAGGCCCTACTAACATTTCTTATTTCAATAATGGACCTAAAACAATAACAGCAACAACATCAATAAAAACAAGCACAACAACAACAGTAATACTGTAACAGTAATAAGATGATTTAATAAGATAATACGCTGGACAACAGATACATCAAACAGACCCATATAGCCAGGGGTTCTATGGTGTGGCCGAACCCCATTTTGGAACGAACCCCTGGCCATCCAAGCTAGGTTTTCCCCTACATCGTCAAAAGAATGATTACATTTGCAAGAAAATGCTTTATGTAGGCCTATGCAGGAACAAATAACAATAATAATAATAATAATACCAAAAAGGTAATAATTATTAATAATAGTATAATAACATTAAAATAATAACATATAAAACATATTATTAACATTTATAATTATATTTTTGATAAGATACTGAAATAATTGTTTTTTAAAATTTACTTACTGTGGCGGTAACTCTTTTAATTCATCGGTTAAATTATTCCATTTTTTCCCTTGATAACATTGTTGCCCCACACTTGTGCATTTTATTTGAGGACAACATAGACGAGCCATGATTTTGAAAAGATGGGGGGGGGGTGGGGAGCCGTTATGCGAGGTACTTGGGACCCTGGGAAGCAGCCCCTGAACATTTTTAGGACTGTTTTGAGAGGATAAAGTGAAAATTGCAATAGACGTTAATAAATAATATTATAAAATAAATGACAGCAGCACTTTTGAGACTAACAATATAGACTTTTTATTCATTTAAATAATAATTATTAGTAAGCCTAAAAATAATTATATAATAACTCAACATTGGCTGATCCAGGAGTTCGAAAAAGAGGTGACCCAGGACAGGACTTGAATTCGCCATTGCTAAAAACATTATTTATCCAAAATAGTCATAATCACGAAAAATAGGCATAAAAAAACCAGATCACATCCTAAAAACAAATGTATGCACCCTCGCCTCGGCATTCACTAAGCCATACTCTGAGTCAGGTGCCGACTCCATGGAGTTTAATGTCATACCCAGGGAAGGCGTAGGTCTGTTCTGGAAGGTGGAGGAGGTGGGACATTTCGTGAGTCGACACCCTTCTCAGACCCATCATGGTTGGGGCTGAGGTGCGAAAATTCGAGGATATAGTACCTCTCCAGATGGCCAGAAATGACAATTAGTAAAATTCATCATCATCACATCACCATTATATAAATATCATAATGAAGCAAAACAAATTTCTCATGATGATCTTTTATCAAGGATTTTCGGCAACCATAAAGATTTGTCTTTGAATATGTACTTTACATACTTCAAAGCTGTGATTTCACAAACACAACAGCCCCAGTGGTGAGAAAATGTGAGGAAATAGTATCTCTAAATAGCCGGAAATGACACTTTTATATAGTATATCATCATCACATTACCATATATATAATCAAAATGAAGCGCCAACAAATTTCTCATGATCTTTTATCAGGGATCTACTTAATATCCAGGACAACTTTTTTTTAGGCCTAGGTCTAACTATAGATTACTAAGCTTTTAACTATACTATATGATCAAGAGATCACAACTTTCTTTTTCGCCTTTAGCACAATTTTCACTTCATAATATTATTAATATTATTATCTAATATCAATATCACCATCATCATCATCATCATCATCATTATTAACAAAACTTCATAAAAGCATGCAAAAGGCTAAAAACCAAACTGAACTATACAATATCACATTTCTGTATCGTAAAGACCTGGCCTTTGATTTATGGATGTAAGATTTTGAAAAATCACATTTAGGCTCATGTGTTATAATTATAGTAGGGCCAGGCCCATATGTATAATGTGTGCTGATGCATATTTAAATATTTTAGAAGTATTCATTTTGAGTGATCCCAGGAAAGAATTTGTATTGTCTATCAAGAACAAGCTTTAAAATTTGAACACACTGTACAAGGGGGGGGGGGGGGGGCGGGGCCCCCACCCCCCCCCCACCGCTCCCCCGGGATACGTCCCTGAGGACAGATGTTAGTTCGATATCTAGTGCTATAGTTGTGTAATGATTCAAATATCTTAAATAAGTTGTTAAATGATACAGGCAATTGACTTATGATATTGATACATAGGCACACATTAATAAAGATAAAAATATTTAATGTTTGAGTAATAATAAACAAAGGATATGAAGGCCAAATGACAAATATTCATTTGGCCACGTAATAGTGTACAAAGTGGGTTAGAAGTTAGAGAATTAACTTGTTTCTGTCTATTTTTACAGGTATTCAGTGTGTGGGGAACATATGTAGAGGGATTAATTCCAAATTCAACTTACATTATTTTAACAAGAAGATATTTAGCCTAATTCTAAAAACAGCACCATCGAAATCTCTGACGGATGAAACCACTAGCGCGTTAAATCGTATTAAACATCCGAATTCAACGGCCGTCCAGATCAAACAGTCCCTTCAACGAATCTTGCTAAAAGCAACCAATCCATGACAGTACAAGCAAACGCTACAGAATAACACAGGTTTAATTTCGGTTGTACACTGATTTCAATTAAAAACTAGTGACCTACTCAGCTGGTTTGATAAAGACATGTTATTTTCCCGGCGGCCTATTCGAAAAAAAAAAAAAAAAAACTCCTAGAAACTTAGCGATCAAGAAGGAGCCATGCAGAATAATGCGAAACTTAGGAGAAATCTAAAGAACAGAATAACAGCAACAGGAATAAAGGGACTAGGCCCCGTCTATTTGGTTCATTGATAAATCAGTCACATTGGTGTCTACAAGTAGGCCTACTGCCGGTAATTGGTCTAACCATGGAGGAAATATATTCTAACTATGGTCTAACCGAAATGGAGGAGTTAGACTTGCTATACCTGGAATTGAAGTATCGTGTAGTGATGATTTGTGGTGATTCAACACACTACTAACAGGGCGAAGTTTTCTGGTACTTACTTGGCCATTGTGTAATTTAATACAGTTCCAACTCAGAGTGAAACATTCCAATATATATTTTTTTAATAACTATTTGAATTTATAATAACTGTTTATGCGTTTTTATTATATATTTTTTAACAAATAATTATTAATTTATGTGCATATTAATATCAGTTTTATAGCGAGGCTTTCAATGACCTTATAAAAGCGTAGAATTTCTTATGTGGTTAGAATAGTGTAAAATCTATTGTTAAAAATCACTCACAGTACTTCACCTTTTTTTGCTATCAGAAATATAACGATATGGCAATTATTTTGTCGTAGTGAATGTGTAGCATGGTGGTTAATATCAGGTTAAATTACCTCAGCCCCAGCCATGGTATGGCTGAGGTGGGTGTCGACTCAGGATTGTCCCCCACACCTTTCAAAACTGATCTGCGCCCTTAAGTTGTTAATGCCTGGGTTCAAATCCTGTCACACCAGGGTTTTATTTCTATGGCTAAAGTACATTTCAAGCCTCACAACGAGTTCAGACCATCATGATATTAAGTGCAGGTGGAGCCTGGTTTGGCCGCGGGTGCGGTCCTCGACGAGGGCACAAGTTAAACGTCGCTCATAATTCCTCAGAGGTGCCCAGAAGGATTCTATTACAATTTAGCGATTTTAAAGGCTTATTTATTTGACTGTAAGTAATCCTCAACAATTAATATGTAATATATTATTAGGCCTATACAATTGTGTATAATTTCCTTTCCGACGAATTGTATGTTTTGTCCCGAATTGGTTGTTAATTGAGGGTGGTGGGGTAGCTCTCCCCGCGAACTCCGCACAATAGCGCCACCCCTGATATTATTCTGATAAGATGAAGGGGTCGTCATCAGCTACATAATGCAAGGTTTTACAAAATGCAAGCCATTTCAACATTTTGCAGCTGTGTTTTTGAAATTTTGAATTTAAATAAGACAAAATATACAATATAAATTATAACTTTATGAATAAGGCTTTATATAATGAACGCCCACCTAATTATTTTTATAGAACATATTTATTAAAGCATTCCTTGTAATATATATTTAAATATGTATTAATTATTTGAATAGCTATGAATACTCTATAAGCAAAGCAGTCTGTTATCTCTCCTCAAGGTGGAAGATAAGCTTCAATTCATTAATTTTTATTGCTACATTCGCCATCAAAGGCTATTATTTCATTTTATTTCATTTATTCATTCGACCAATGCACATTTACAAAAGGTACAGTACAACAAAAATTTTGTTCAAGGACAGCTTAAGCAAAATTTTACTATACACACTGAGAGTCAGCTGCTCCATAACATCCACCCACAAAGGGATTACAAATACAAATAACAAAATAACACGTATGGCTAAAGGAACTAGGTATGGGTGGAGTCAGGGCCGTATCTAGGATTGTCATTAGTGGTGTGAGTGGGTGGGGGATGTGTGTGAATGGAACAACTGTTTTATAATATATACGGTACTATTCCTGGTAGGATCAAGGGGCGGAACCGGTTGGATCGCAGTCGATTTACCATTAATTTCAATGCGATATTGCTGGTTAATGCTAAGATTCCTTCTCAAATTCCTGGATCCGCCACTGGCTGGTGAACCAGAATGAATAGCAACATTTTTAGTCACCAATCAAGCAAGCTCGGCAGTCTACTGCAGGGCCGGCGGAACGTTTTTCAAAGTGGGGGGCCCACTTATAAGATAAATGGGAATATGAATCATGCAGATCTGGAATCAAACCTAGGTGGTGGTGGTAAACATTTTTCCCAAAAACGAAAGGGGATCCGGGGGTCCTCCCCCTGGAAAATTTTGATTTCTAGATGGCGGGAAATTACCTTTCTCGACTTTTGAGCTAGATGTCTAATGACTATGTTCTTCAAAATTCAAGGTCCCCCCCACCCCTCTTGAAAATAATCAGATAAACTTTCTCATTCTTATTACAGTAAATTGACCGGTTATGTGTGTATACATACATATAAAAAAATTAGTAGTTGCATACGTATTCTGTTTTCATTTTCAATGAATCGATAAGGTCCAAAGAAAAAAGGGGGGTGGGTCCGGGGTTCTCCCCCGGGAAAATTTTGATTCCTAGAAGGCGGGAAATGAGTTTCCCGACTTCTGAGGTGTCTTTTATTTACTTTTATGTTCTTCAAAATTCAAGGTATTCCCCTCTTGAAAATTATTATGATGAATAAATGAACCCAAAGAGAAACGGGAGGTTCGGTTCTCCCCGGGGAAATGTTGATTTCTAAATGCCTTCCCGACTTCTGAAGTAACTTTTAGCGACTTTAATTTAAGTTCTTCAAAGTTCAGCGTTTTCCCCTCTTGAAAACGGTCAGTTAATTTTTTTCCATTGTTTACAGCAGATAGGCATACACAGGGCCGTCGGAACCGCACAGCCTTTTTTTCTCAATCCTATCACAGGTCTCCCTCCATACCACCAATTAAAAATCCTTTTTGGGACCAGGGTTTTTAGTGGTCTTTAGCAGCTTTGGTCTCTAATTTGAATCAATAATTAAAGACCGGCTTTAAAAGTAGTCTCTAATATCTCTATTTAGAGGGGAATTAAGAAATGATATACCGGTAGTAAATGTAAGATGTTTGAATGGGTGTAGGGCCTACAGTTACTGTAAGATGTTATTATTATTATTAATGCTAAAACTATTTCCCTGTAGTCAAGTCCTGTGCATGGTGGTCTTTTGGTGTCGAATTCAAGTCCCACATCCGGGAGATCTGTTTAAATGAATTTTCTTACCACAACCAAATTTTGCTGTGCATGGTGATAACCATTAATGATTGGTACTAACTGCTGCGCAGACAATTGATATTACAGTTTCAAAACTTGTTAAAGCATGCAAATATCATCATGAATCTGCGGGAGATGGTTTATTTCGGGGAAAAATATGCTGGAGTTCTTCCTGCCAGTTTCTAGGAGACCACATTTCAACTTTATTGACAATCCTTAATTTCAATATTTAAGATTGATTTTGAAATTGTTTTGAAGTATAATATAAAATAACTATTATAACATTTTGGCAAAGGTATAATGGCCAAGCCGGCCCTGATTAGGCCTACTTCCAATATAAAAAATTGTAACCCTTAAATTAAAAGTGAAGGCATTAATTTTTCTAAAATTATGCATGTGCTATTTCCCGGCTGAGAAAAAAATGTGTTGCACCCTACCACCCACCCATGCCCACTCTTATTAAAACGGCCGGACACATTTGCAAAATGCTTCCGACGGCTATGATACATACATAAACAAAATTGAGTAGTTGCATACGATTTTTTTTCCCATGAATCCATAAATCCCAAAAAGAAAGGGGGGTTCGGGGGTCCTCCCCCTGGAAAATTTTGATTCCTAGAAGGCGGGGAATGAGCTTTTCCAAATTCTGAGGTGTCTTTTAATTACTTTTAAGTTCTTCAAAATTAAAGGCTTTCCCCTCTTGAAAATTATTATAATGAATCAATGGCCTCAAAGAGAAAAGAGAGGTTGGGGTTCTTCCCGGGAAAGTGTTGATTAAATGGTGGGAAATGAGCTTTCCCAACTTCTCAAGTAGCTAGGTGTCTAATGACTTTGTTCTCCAAAATTCAAGGTTTTCCCCCTCTTGAAAACGGTCAGGTAAATTAGTAGTTGCATACGTATTCTTTTTTCAATGAATCGATAAGCTCCAAAGAAAAGGGAGGTCCGGGGGTTCTCCCCCGGGAAAATTTTGATTCCTAAAAGGCGGGAAATATTTCCGACTTCTGAGGTGTCCTACTTTTAAGCTCTTCAAAATTCAAGGTTTCCTCTCTTGAAAACGGTCAGGTAAATTTTTCCACTTGTTATTACAATAAATAGGCCTTACATACATATAAAAAAATATTGAGTAGTTGCATATAATTTTTTTTTCGTAAATCGATAAATCCCAAATAGTCCGGAGGTTCTCCCCCGGGAAAATTTTGATTCCAGAAGACGGGAAATGAGCTTCCCGACTTCTGAGGTGTCTTTGAGTAATGTATTCAGTACGATAGCATGGCGTCAGGTAGGGCTAAACATCCTGACACAAGTGTGACACTTTAAATTTAAGGATGTCGATAGACAATCGATCAACAGGGATTAAGTACTTTGTCTCGATCATTATTTTAACCCGTCTATGCCATATGAGGGCGTGCGAGAAACTTTCATATTAGGAGGACAATTTTTACATTATTTCGGTATGTTCCATCCTCTCAATATGTAAGCCTAGTGGACACTTTTAAGTAGGCTGTATCTATTTCTGATGACTTTCTTCCCAACTAATTCCCCCTCCAGTCAAGGCCGCCGAAAGCGGGCGTGGGCCCCACGGCAGATTTGATTCATAACATCAAAGTTTACGCTTAGATGTGCTCAGAGAAGGACACAGATGGAGAGTCTATTTACCTGAGTCCCACCATGGTTGGGGGCTGAGGTAAGAAAATTTATGATTATGGCACCTTGGACGGCCGGAATGGCTCTCTCTTAGACTTAAAATTCGAGTAAAAAATTTTTTTTTGAAGGGTGGGGGGAGGTTCGTTTTCCCTTTTAATGCGCCACTAGTTTAACATTGCTTAATTGACAATCAAATTTCTATCAGGTCTTCGTATTTTATAGCTTAGGCCTATAGGCCTATGTATATTGACGATTTCCAGGGTCCAAGTCTTTGGTAAAATTATTAATTAATGACGCAAAAAATAATACTGTTTGATACATTGTAAATATTTCTAGAGATAGTAGAAGTCATGAAAACATTAATGAAAAAGAATTAAGCGATTAATTAAGCTTAATTACAAGTCTCGTGGGAAAACACATTAAATATACTGGATGAATGTATACGTTTAATAATTTTTATTATTTTTTTTTACCTAGTATCCCGGGCCCTTGTCGCCGGGACAGTTTCCCCATAAGCCTCGGCGCCACACTGCCTCCAGTACGAGACCACTTTGGGCCGACGTGAAAATGTGGGGTGGTATTGGGTTCGGTCTCCACTTCGATTAGCAGTACGATTGTTACTGGTTCTTGCTGGGCTACACTCCTCCTGGCCTCGCCTCCGATTTCTCTGTACTTGTTCAGCTATAGGTGGCGCACTTAGCGGACCCGTAACCACAAAGAGCTGTAACATGAAGATTGTTTATCTTTTTCATCACTGGCTTAGAATTCAGCATGGCAACTTTTGAAAACGTCCCAGTAGTTGATGTGCATAGCGATAATATTTCAATCATTTGGCCATCACTCTTATTGGCAGTACGATCTGCAAATTTTCTAGCCATTGACTTTGAGTTAAGTGGTCTTGGAAACCGTCGTAATCTGGTAACTCGGTAGGTACCACCAGCCCGTGCTGAAAGCCAAGTTTTAGCAAGCTAGACCTAGGCCTAGGCCCTTGTTGGAGGCCCTAGCCTAGCTTGCTAGCCCTGCGTTATACCAAGCTAGGGTGACTGAGGCTTATTTTAACAAAATAAACACTTTGTTCTATTTTAATTTAGGCCCCTTAACTTACTTATAAGTAATGCTATGCCTAGCCTAGCTAGGCCTAGTTAGTAGTAGTAGTACCTAGCTAGGCCGGTAGGCCTGGCCATTATTAGCCTATACTATAGCTAGCTAGGCCTAGACCTATAAACGGTTTCATCATCACGTATAGGCCTTTTTCACGCTGTGGTAGACATCTTCGATCAATGACAAACAATGCTGAGCAATCAAGTGTAACCAACAGAAATAACATAGCGTTTCGGCCATATTTTGGGAGGTCATGTTACTCAAAAAATCATATATCCTTAATGGAGGACCATGTCAACATATTTTTTTCTTTGAAATGTTCGCAAAGGATATATCTACATACTGTATGAATAAAAAAAAAATTGAAAATTTGTTTAGTCTGTCAAAACTGGAAAATAGAAAACTGATTTTGTACAGTGCATGTTGCTATTATTTCAATTAAGTTTTGAGAGACTAAACAAATTTTGTTGTTACTCATACAGTACTTAGATATATTCTTTTCAAAAAATTTAAAGAAAAAATTATGTCGATACGACCCTCCATTAAGGAGTTATGATTCTTTAAGTAACATGACTTCCGAAAATATGACCGGCACGCTAAATAATATTCGGTCGAACAGTGAAAATAATGGCAATGTGTGTGTTAACACTACACAAAATCAGTCTTCCATTTTCCAGTTAAGTTTTGACAGACTAAACAAATTTTCAAATTTTTGTTATTCATACAGTAGATATATCCTTTGCGAACATTTTAATGAAAAATTTATGTTGACACGACTCTCCGTTAAGGATTTTATGATTTTTTAAGTAACATGACCTCCGAAAATATGGTAGAAATGCTATGTTATTTCAATTGGTTAAGCTTCGCTGCTCAGCACTGCTTGTCACCAATCGAAGATGTCTACTGCAGCGTGAAAATGGCCTATTGGTTGGTTGGCATCCCTTGGAGCTCACTTGTATACCAACCTTATGGGGAGGGGGGGTGTGGTGCTACCTATTTGACTGAAAATTATTAGGGACTTGAACTACAATTTACCAAAACCTGGTGTCGGTTGAACTACTACCAAATTAAACTTGTACTGGTTCCTGATTGCGAATAAGACTGCGGCTCTGTCTGTTCGCGATCCTTACTGTTCGTGGCTATGTATCAATGGTAGGTTGAGCACAGAGGTTAGCAAAAATTCTTTGCTAACATCGTGTGAAAAATTATGCGACTTTGATATGGGATGGGGCAGGGAAATTAACTACCAAATTTACCTGGTATTTCCCACACTTGTGCTACTTAAGTCCTCGCAAATATACCCTATACAGGTACATCCTGAAACTCTTCCATAAATTCCCACACTTGTCCACCAAGTCCTCAAAAATACCCCCGTAAATGCGGCACCTACCCATATAGAAATATTTAAGATTGAGCCCCCCCCCCCCCCCGGGGTCGGCATCTTCATTATTAATTGCATGCATAAACACCTTCCTGGCGAGGTAGTTGGGCTACCTGTACATTAGTAGTAGTTAGGCTATACAGTATTTTCATTCCATTGATTGAAGATTGTTTTCCTGTAACGACCCACTAAGTTTCATGCCTCCATCTCTCACTCTTTTGTTTTAATTTAAGGTCTATGGACGATCGGTATAAGTTCATTAGTGATGTTGCAAAGACACGGTCAATTCTCGCAATTGGTCTTGCATGCTTCAAGGCAAATGGCACTTCCTCCGACACACTTGGTTTACAGTTTCAAGTCCAGACATTCAACATCACAACCCTCTGCAATGAAGAATATGTTGTGGAGCCAGATGCTCTTCAGTTTCTTGTTAACCATGGATTTGATTTTAATAAGCAGTATTCAAAGGGAATGAATTACTCAAGAGGCGCAGACACGGTTTGTCAACCCTCAGTCTTAATAGATTTATGGTGGTGGGCATAGGGGTAGGCACTTGTCAGACAGGCCCAGCCCTACCTTTCATCAATCATAAGTCATCACGTCAGTCAGACCAGAAATATTTTTGTTGTTTAAAACTTTGATGAGCATCATATGCCCTTTGATGAGCATCATATTTTGTAGAACAGTTTTAAATAGCCATAATTTTTGGCAGCCAGGATGCCACCCCGTAGATACAACCCAGCAGTGATTTGGTCTTGGATTCCGCTGGCAGTGGTGTAACATACACAGCTGTTGCATGCCACCCCTCTCCACCTCCCCTCCCCCACAGTCACCTTCCCTGGAAATGTGAAACTATGCTCAGCTTATATCACCTTATTTTGCAAGGTGTCTTTATCATTGATCAGCCCCTCTTCCCCCTTGCCATTTCAAGACTCCTGGATACAGTAATTCAGCTTTGCCTCATAAATTAGTATGTATGCATATATATATATTGAGATTAAAGAGCGATCTTTGGACAAGAGCAATTCAAATAGACATATGGCAGAAGGGAAGCACAGAGCAGGATTTGATGCTTTTATGACCGGGTTTTCGTTTGCAACTTTTATAGGAAAATATGGAGTCTGGAAAGAAACTGAGGTAATGAATAATCAAATGAGTTTAGGGTCGCGCTTCCAAGTGGAAGACCTTACAAATCGATTGTACTTAAGTGGTAAATCTGTGCCGTTGTTGGTAGAAAAAAGTCATTTTTCTAAAACATCTAGCCATCACAGAGAGAAGTTTCAGAAGATTTGTCCTCCGACATTCAAGCATGTAACGCAAGTAGTTCTGGAATCTGTGGGATTAAGTTGATTGCTGTTGTGATACGGTAAAGTTGGGCATTACGACAAATACTGTAGAATTCAGTGGTGGTAATATGGAACACAATACAAATTGCATTATTTATCAGTATTTATTATAGACTTGGATAAGAAAATAGACCCATTTATATTTACATGAATGTACTTGTATATCAGTGCAGGCAGCATGAACATTTTTATTATTCGCTTTATACCAGAATTGCTTAGGGCTATTGGATGCACTGTATGAATTTGATGTTGCTGGCAAAATTTTTTCTTATTGTTTTATATCATGTTGCTGTTTAATTTTTTTATTCCTCTTAAAATAAAGCAAATGCTCACTGTTTTTACTGTTTTATGTGTTTATTAGGATGTTAGAATATTTGGCTATACAAAGACTATAAAATTCCAGTAACAGAACAATTGCATTTTCTAATAATAATTGCCTTCTTTTAGTTACATATTTTGCCAGTTCAAACTGACTATGCATATTACAGTAGGACGGGAAACCAGGTACAGATTTAGGGAGAGGGACAGTTCTCCTGGTTTTGCCACGGCTGTCTTTTTATGTACAAAAATAAATACAAAATATCATACTGAACACGATTCATACCATTTTTTCATTATTGGATACTTATTTATCTGCATAATTATATTACATCTCGGCCTACATTACAGGTGGGCAAAGTGCTGCCCGCTTGCCGTGTTACAAGCCTACTGATGGCCGTATGTGGACGCAGTGCGAATAGAAGACGGTCATGTTGTTTGCGTCAAAAATAGAGAGTATGTTGTGTCATTTGTGTCATGACTGAACCCACATATTTATACTGTAGTAACCAAATTATAACAGGCCGCATGCGGCCTGACAGCGATTTTTTTTGCGGCCCGCGAATACGAAATAAAAACCTTGTGTGCGGCCTGCCAAGCAGCATTGGCCAGAAAACATTGTTTTTACGGCCTGACACCGATCATGTAAAAAGTAATATTATATGTAAAAGCAGTGCTTGGAGGTTTAGAAGCGCACTGGAAAGATCAGTTTGAAAAGCAGTGCTTGGAGGTTTAGAAGCGCACTGGAAAGATCAGTTTGAATGCGGCCCTCGGTGTTAAATCAGAAGTTCGTCTTGGCCCTCCGACCGATTTTTATGCCCACCTGTGGCCGCAGTATATTAAATTGGTACCTCCTCTCCTCGTTTAATAAATCCTGTGTATTTTTCATTGAAAATGATATAATTGTATCTAGGTTTTTAATTTCCAATAAGAATGCTTTATAAAAACCCCTTTAGATTCCTAAATAGTACTTGATTATATTGTTAGATCATATTACCATTTTATATAATTACGTAAATCTACGTCTTTGATTATTACAGTATGTTCATTCTATTTGTACATACTGAACTGTACTATTATACAAATTGCTTATTATTCCAACTGCTGTCTCGACATACTTGTTTACTTAATTTCAAACAAATGAATAATTTAACTAAAGAATAATATTTTTTTTTTGTTAAAGACTTTCCCCGATGAAAATCTACAGAACAATAGCCTTACTCATATGCAATCATCTACAATACAAATTTTATCAATTATTAGTTCATATCGTATATCATAAACCCAGTAAAAGTCAAAGGGTGATGAGAATTACCATAAACCTGGTAGCTCCCACCTGCGTTCGTCAGCCATACTTCATCACCGACATTCAGTTGAACTGTTACTCCAGAGCTTAACTGATCATGTCCAGCAGGGTCACTACGATGTACAGATGTGAGCGCTCGCCCATTTAACCATATTTTAACCCACACAGGAGCAGCATTGTACGACAAGAAGCTAAACATGAAATAATACACACCGGAAATTCTACATGTAAATTTTCCGGTATTCTTATCAAAGTCGTCTCCAACATTAATCTCCATTGATGTGAATAAAATGGTCGATTCTGAAGTTGGTACGTGAGTGGTGCGTACTGCAGTAAACGCAGATTTACGGACTTGTGGCGCCTGCAATCCCGGTTCACCTTGTTCTCCTTTTGATCCAGTCTCTCCTTGAGGTCCTGGCTGCCCTCTTTGTCCAAGTGGACCTTGTTTACCAGGAGATCCGTCGCTTCCTTTATCACCTTTTAGACCCTCGTTTCCGGGTTCTCCCTTTTCACCTCTATCTCCTCTTTCACCTTTAATAAACTCACCCCTGTCACCCTTACTACCAGATGGTCCAGCTGGACCATATCCTCCAGGTGTTCCAGGAACTCCGGGGATCCCAGGTTGTCCAGATGGCCCATGACAGCACATATTACAAGTTTGAGGAACGTTTTGCTCAGGTGTTGTAGTCGTAGACAAGCTTTCTGGCAGGCAAGTTAGTAAGCTCAGGCCAATTAATAGTGCAAATGATGTCAAAGATGAATCCATACTTATTCTGAATAAAAAATAAAGAAATTTGTTCATTTTATTTTTTTTAAATTGTTTGGAAATGTATTATCTGCCTGGTTTAATCTAGCCATGCGAAATAAAATGTATGTCTTTTTTGCTGCCACACCGCAATTCCTAGATACGAAATTATGTAAAAAGCGCATTTACACAGTTCTTGAGAAAGACTCAGCATTTCGAAATACGGTATATGAATTTGGAAAGCATGAATACCTTATATTTTATTGTTCTGAATGTTTAACTTTGCAGAAACCAACATTATACAAATGTTCCTGGAGTGAGACGTCACGACCACTAATTAACTTTTACATACTATCTCAGTCAGCAACCATCTTAAATACACTGTTCAGAATTGAGCAAAACTGAAGTTTAGGTATGCCTACATCGCGAAAAGTCAGACGGCCCAGGGCCTAAAGATTTACCAACTCGCATCTTTATTTAGAATTTGATTTTAGGAGCTAATGTTATGGAAAGAATGACTATGTATCAAGTTTATCAAAGTGTTAGAAAAAGCTAAAATTTTGTTCCATAATGACATGTCTAGTATTAGTAGGTCTACTTCTGTGAAAAGTACTGTCGTTAACTTAAGACTCTAAAAGCTCAGATGTGGTAAGACACGCTATTCAACAACTGAATTTCTATGAAATATTTTGTATTTTATAATTAATGGGACTTTTTGTTTTATTAGATTAATCTGAGTCCCGATCACACGATTAGTAGTATTGTTTGCTTTTCATAACAAACGTGGGTTTCTATACCAAGATATAAAAAGTTGTTCTTACCTCAAATTTCGCAATGGTCTTCATGAAAAGACAAATAGCAATCGTCTGCCTGCTGAATAAATATGTTACTGTATGTCTTCATCGTTTATAACGTTTGTCATTGGCTAATAACTATAGCATCTGTTGCTGAACAAAGTCGTCTAATTTAAGGACTTGTGAAATATACTTTAACCATAGTTGCCAAGTTGGGAGTTAGCTACACCATGGTTGGGGCTAAAGTAATAATATTATGTTTAGCACCTCAAGAATGATCCAGAAATGTCATTGTCAGACTTAGGAACACAAAATAATCACATAAATGAGCCACTACTTTATTTCACTATGGATAGTCCGGTGAGCTACAATCATGAAATGACACTAACCATTGTCGTGTGCGCAACCTGAGTCATTGCATATACTAGGACACAAAATGATTAATACAATAATTCAATTAGACTTTGACATACATATTGTTTGAACTAGAGACTGACATAGGCCTACATCAGTTTGTAAACGTTACCGTACTGTACAGTAAACAGCAATGCACTCCGTTACACCCCTGTTTTGTGAATTTGTATTGGAAAAAGTATGAAAAAAAGGTGACTATTTTAGGGGGCTGGTGTGTGAACTTGAGAATATAGGAAACAAGGTGTGTAAGTATATATACATATATAGGCTATTATATACATACAAAATAAAACAAAATATAAAACAAAAAAGTAATAATAATAACAGTGCTCGAATCATACTAGAACTTTAATTTGCCAAATTCTTGCACAGTGCTCGAATTATTGCATCGAATGTTTCGAATACTCCTGTTGTCTTTGTCCACACTTGACATAGAACCTATTGAATATATGCATACAAAGGCCTATATCTGTCTCTTATACACATCTAGATGTGTATAAGAGACAGGTTGCTTTTTGCACCTGTTGATGTCCGGAAATGGCACTCTCAAACTTAGAATGATATTAATTTGAAAATGTTTTATTCCTTCATGAATAGTTACATCATCACGTGAGTTCAATCATTGTTTCAGTTTCAGTTTCATAGTGCAATCTTAGTCATTATAGACTAGGACACAATAATTTAAGCAGACTTTTCACTTTTAATTTCAATTTCAATTTATTAAAAAATCTTCAAAACGGAGAGATAAAATACATAACAAAACATTCACTTACTTAAGAATCAAACACATTATATGAAAATACATCAAAATAAAAGTTGAAATGAAACGATTAAGTTCAACACATAGAAAAACATCTTAATAAAATAATGAGCTGAGTATTAATTAGACAAAAGCTAAAAAGTTGTGATAAAAGGTCTCTTCCGTTACATTTTAAAAATGGATACAAATACTGGCTTAACACTGTCAGTTAATCCATTTTCATTACAATTGGATTTGAAATTATATTTGATTTTTTTATTACCAGGTAAAATTTCATTTTAGATTATAACAGTATATATTATTATAATAAGTAGTCTTTTACATGAATTTGGTTTGAACTTGGACTGTAGGCCTACATCATTCAATACGTGGCAGAAGGGAAATTTACTTATTAACTTGTTAATGAAAAAGTGAGTAGGTAGCACTTTTTTGACTGGCAATGAATTTTATTTCACAAGCTTTCGCCCCAGTCAATGGGGCCTCATCAGGTGAGATCATGAATATTGCTGCATCTTGTGAACCACTTCACTCACCTGAAGCCGTTTATCGTTAGTCAAAAAAGTGCTACCTATTTTTTTTCATTTGTATACACTGACTATTACCGTACGTCTACTATACTATAGACGAATACGGGCGGCCTTTCATGGGAGTGCGCCCTCTACATGCGTTGCCATTACGGGGGGGGGGGCCTTCTGGGTTAGCTTCTTTTTCGACATAACTCTGCTGAATGTGTTATGGGTAAATTTCCCACGATTAAAAATCGAAAAACGGCACTGGGTTTGGTCTACAGGAGCTCGTGCTTCGTACAGGTCATTCCATTCATAGAAAAAGCCTTTAATGGTGAGAGTGTACCTGTCGTTAGCCATAGTAGCCTAGGTCAATACAAAACACCGGCTAAGTAAATATTATTGAGATTGAAAATATTATTATAGAGAATACTCTGTTCACGTTTAAATCAGGGGCAGCGCTAGCGGGGGTCCAGGGGGGTAAAGGACCCCAGTCTGGGACCATTGGACCCCTGCTTGGACTCCTCTGTCGGGGAATTTAGAGCAAGTTAGTCGGGGAAAAATCAAATCTCGAGCATTGAAGTACAATTCAAGCATGTATTACTAAGCTGTAAAATTTTAAGGAAAAAAACTGTTCAATGCGAGACGTGCTATATGTGAGGTGACGGTATACGCTTAACTTACATGGTTTTCTATCTAATTATCATTTCTAAGTAATAAATCCAATAATAAAAAAAAAAATTAAATTCCAGACAAATTCAATTTTTCTCCAATCGGATGGGGTGGGGGAGTAAGCTTTCCCAATGGGGGAGTGGTGGACCCCTTGTCGGGGAGCTTAGACCTCTCATCGGAGAATTCCTGGCGCCACCCCTGGTTTAAGTTAAAATCATTTATTAGTTAAATAAGACTATTTAAAGTAATTTTAAGAAATACTACTTTTAGGCTTACTCTGTTTCAAATAATCTTATATTTTAATAGATGTATGTAAATGTATGATATAGTGTGTAGTATAATATAAATGTTTTTTTATTACAATCATATTTAATTTAATGTAGAAAATTTCTAATTATTTATTTAAACATTACTTTAAATGATTTATATAAATATAATATTTTAATTAATAAATGACTAACTTAAAACGTGGACATACACTTTTTTTAAATTTTTTTTTATAAGAACACATTTTCTAAGAATAATGAGGCTGAAATTGCTTATAAATTAAGAACAAAATAAGAACAAATTGAGGCTAAGGTAAAATGTCAAATGAAATTTTTATTAATTTATACTGTAATACTGTAATACTTTGAAGTTTGAAAGTGTGTAAAATAAGAACAAAATAAGAACATTTCGAACCTGAAATCGGCCAAAAAATAAGAACACTGAGCCTGGGCAAAATTTTACTGGTTCTTTTTTATGACACCTTGGGAATTTTGTTGTTAACTTTTCATTAAATCTTGGGATTTTTAGAATGATAGGGATTTTAAATTTTTTTTTCTATCAATAAGTGAACAAATAGGCTGCGAATTTCCTTTTAACACCATAGTTTACAATTGTAAATGAGGAGGACTGTTTATTTGTTCAAAATAAAAGATCCATCGAAAGCTTAGACAGTAGTTTTTCAATTCTTCTGATAAGGCTATTGTATTAAAGCCATTTGCATCATTTTCCAAAAATAATAAGGTGCATTTTTAAAGTTAAATATCTTGATATGTCCCATTGGCGGATATGCTGTTTGCTTCAGTTTGGGATAGGTCTATATAAAGTTGAGCACTATAGATATTGCACCTATTGTACATTCAATGAAATTTCGCACCGTCCCATATCTTGCAAATGCTTTTCATTGTGTTTGAATTTGACAATTTAAGTTCAATAAAATCTATCAAAAATAGTCTCTTAGGCCTACTAGCTTGCACCTCCCGAATAAAATTTAAAATAAACGCCTTTTTTTTGTGTGATACAAATAAGATAAAGACAATTACCCTTTTATTTTTATGTAAATGATTTTAATGCATATAAGACATTCCCCACAACGCCAACCCCACCCCCTAAACTTACGAAAATTCTACAGTTGAAGGAAAACGAGCGAGTTATTGGTCTGCGAAAATCCAGAAACTGTTCCGTTATACAGTGCAACTTACAGATTAGTAAACTATAACATTCATTGGAAAAGCTTTTAATTGGACTTTATTTAAGTTGTATGTATATACTAATAGGCCCTATTTTGCGAATCTTGGGATTTTAATAGAAATCTTGGGATTTTTAAGACTCAACTCGGGAATTTTGATTTTTCTCAGTGGTCACACCACCCAGTACCAATTTTCGATTTTTACTTGCGGGAAATTTACCCATGCTGCTTCATTATTTGTCACTGTGGAGATCAGTACAAATAAAAGCTGTTTTTCCAACAAAAGAACCACAGAAATTTTCACTGCAGCTACAAAACACACGAGTGCACAACAATAGAACCCAGCAAAGCGAAGACGTCTTTCGCACGAAAGGTGTGCGGCTGATACGGGCCGCTGCGGGGCTATTACTCGCTCATTCAACCACCTTCTTCGGCTGCAATGGAGAAGCCCCCCCCCTCGCCCCCAGTTATGGCGCCGCCAACGGCGGCAGCGAGTATAAAAAGGTCACGAAACCGAATTAGTCTATACTATTTATTTTATTAACTTGTTATTTTCAACTTTTATAGGAAAATATGGAGCCTGGAGTGAAGAAACTGAGGAAATGCATGATGATTTAGGGGCGCGCTTCTAAATAGAAGACTACAAATTGATTGTAGTAAGGTGGTAAATTTGTGTCGTTGTTGGTGGAAAAGATCTCATCTAGTCACAGAGAAAAAATTTAAAGAATTTATCCACCGACATTTAAGAAACGGTAGTATTTCTGAAAAATATTGGAATATGCTGATTGCTGTTGTGATATGATGAACTTTGACATTGACAAAAACTGTAGGTGGGGGCACAAAATTTTAGAATAGATAAGTGAGTATCGCTTATTTCAATACTTAACATTGAGATACATTTAGCTTAGGGCTTAAGGGATGTGATACATGAATTTGAGGTTGGTGACAAAGTCTTTCCATATTGTTTTATATCTTGTTAAGTTGCCGATTAGATTTTATATTCCTCTAAAAGTAATAATAAATATTATTATTATTTTAAAATAAAGCGAATGTTCTCACATCACTGTTACTGCCTACAAGTTTATTGATGTATTCATAGACATTGTTAGAATATTTGGCTATACAAACATAAAAGTGAGAACATTAAATCTTCAAATAAATACGTTCTTTTCATTACATAAATCACCAGTTCAAATTGACCACGGATATTAGGGTGGCGAAAGGGGAAACAGATTAAGGGAGGGCACGTCGTGTCCCCAGTTTTACCCCTGCCTTCTTATTTTCAAACAGAAAAATGAAAGAACCAAAATGGCATACAAGTAATATACGTTAAAATTTTGTGACAGCATACTTAACACGAATCATACTATGTTCGGATACTTATTTATCCACCTTATACCTAGGCCTTTAAACTTGGTGCCCCTCGTTTAAACAAATTTGGATCTGCCTCGGCTTATGTTGAATTAATGTATAAGGTATTGAAGTTTATAATTACTAATCAAGAAGTACGGTATCAAACAAACCCGGTATTCCGAAATATTGTATAATTATATTGTGATATTGTGATATTATATTACCATTTTTTCATTACGTAAACCTACTCGATTATTATGTTCATTCTATTTGTAACTACAAAAACAAATAACTCATCTCTTTCTAACCATTGTCTTGATACATTTGTTTGCTCAATTCGATTTAAAACAATTTATTCATCTGTAAGAATATTATTTTTGAGGTATTTAATAAGACATTCTCCGAAGAACATCTGTTGCACAAAAGACATCTACAATCATAAAAAATATCAATACAGTTAGACATCAATTATTAGTTCATATCGTATATCATAAACCCAGTAAAAGTCAAAGGAAATTCGGAATTGCCATAAACTTTGTAGCTCCCACCTGCGTTCATCAACCAGACTTCGTCTCCGACATTCAGTTGAACTGTTCCTCCAGAACTCAACTGATCATTTCCAGCAGGGTCACTACGGTGCACAGATGTGATTATTCGCCCATTTAACTTCATTTTAATATACACAGGAGAACCACCGTACGAAAGAAAACTGAACATGAAGTAATAGAAACCGGAAATTCTACATGTAAACTTTCCGGTATTTTTATCGAAGTCTTCTCCGACATTAATCTCCATTGATGTAAATAGAATGGTCGATTCTGAAGTTGGGACGTGAGTGGTGCGTACTGCAGTAAACGCAGATTTACGGACTTGTGGCGCCTGCAATCCTGGTTCACCTTTTTCTCCATTTGATCCGGTGTTTCCTTTAGGTCCTTGTGGTCCTCTTTGTCCATGTGGACCTTGTTTACCAGGAGATCCTTCACTTCCTTTATCACCTTTTAGACCTTTAACTCCGGGCTCTCCCTTTTCACCTCTATCTCCTCTTTCACCTTTAATAAAATCACCCCTGTCACCCTTACTACCAGATGGTCCAGCTGGACCATATCCTCCAGGTGTTCCAGGAACTCCGGGGATCCCAGGTTGTCCAGGTGGCCCATGACAGCACATATTACAAGTTTGAGGAACGTTTTGCTCAGGTGTTGTAGTCGTAGACAAGCTTTCTGGCAGGCAAGTTACTAAACTGATCAGGCCAATTAATAGTGCAAATGATGTCAACAATGAATCCATACTTATTCTAAATAAAAAATAAAGAAATTTGTTCATTGTTTGGAAATTATTATCTGCCTGGTGAAATCCAACCATACGAAATTAATTTAAGAATGAATTGAAATAATATGGGACAAAATAAAAATGTACCGGTATCTCTTATTGTGCTACCACGCCACAATTCCTAGATACCAAATAATATTAATATATAGGACGCTCTTTGAAGAAGTACAGTATGTCAGGATTGTCCTGTTATGTTCGAATGGTTAATTCGATAAGAACCAACATTTACACAAATGTTCCTGGAGTGTGGCGTTATTACTACTCATTTAAGTACTTTTTCAGCCAGCAACTATCTTAAATATACTGTTCAGAGCGCAACTAAGTTTAGATACACCATGAAAAGTCAGACGGCCAGGGCCTAAACATCTATTAACACACAGATCTATTTTGAATTTGATATTACAAGCTAATTTATGGAAGTAATATATATCAAATTATATCAAAGTGTAAGGGAAAGGTAATTCTTCTCAATTACGATATGCCTATTTAAACCTATTTCTGTCAAAATTACTAAACAAACTAAATAAAAAACTTAGTAGGGCACTATTTAACAACTTGATTTCTATCAGAAATTTAGGGCGGACATTTTTCATCAAATAAACGTGGGTGCCGATGACATGACGTAGTATTGTTTGCGTTTCTTAGCAAACTTGTGTTTCTATATTGGAATTTGATGAAAAATAAAAGTTGTTCTTACCTCGAATATCGTAACAGTCTTAATGAAAAGACAAACAGCGATCGCCTACCTTCTGAAGCAATCTGTCAAGTGTCCTGATTGTTTATAACGTTTTCCGTTGGCTAATAAATACAGTATCTGTTGCTGAATAAAGTTGTTTATTTTAAGGACTTGTGAAACATAATATAACCATAGCTGCTTAGTTTCCAGCTACTGGCTTTTGAGAGTCCACACCCACCACCCGAGCTCTATAAACAAAACAAAAAAAAATCACAAAATGGAGCCATCACCTTCAATTTCTCTATGAATAAGCCGACAGCTTCATGTAAGCTACAATCAATGTTTCAGTTTCAGTTTTACTGTCTTAGTGCAATCTTAGTTATCTTAGACTAGGAAACAATAAATCAAGCAGGCTTTTACATGAAAATGGGTTGAACTTTGAACTGTACATCAAGAAAACGTTGGAGAAGGGCAAATTATTAACTTGTTATTTTGTTAACTTGTATAAGAATATGGAGTCTGCTGGAAAGAAGAAACTGAGACAATGCATAATGAAATGTTTATAGGGGTGCGCTTACAAAACATAGGTAAATCTGTGCCGTTGTTAGTTGAAAATGTATTTTTTCTAAAACATCTAGTTAAAGGGAGTTGGTTGATATGGTCGGATGAAATACTTAAATGTTAGAATTCACAGCAGTTCATAACTTTTTACTAATACGCTCAAAGGTTTATTCAGCATCAACTAACTACTGTATTGCAAATATACAATTTGACCAACTCCATGTTTCTGAGATGTTATTAGAGTTGGACCCTTTTAGAGTGGAGTCAGTTCCGAGTTGTTAGCTCTTAGTTCTGAATCTTTCAAGTCTTAATCTTTATCTGTCAGTGATATTGGGTCTCTATTATACTTTCTAGTATTAAGGCGTGTCATAACCAAATCACCTCATACGTTTGGGGTTTCCAAATGGAAATTATTTTTTATGGATTAATGACTTGTTTGTTGCAATTCCTTTAAGTATGACGGATCACTTGTCAAACGTTTGGTTCAAAAGTGACAATCAAATGTGTGGGAAAGCTTATAGCCAATTATCCAATAATATATCAATAGTTAGTAAGCCCATTTGGGTGTCAAGCTAAGTTGAAACCAAGTTGAGACATTCAACAGGACATCTATAAACAAATTTCAATGGTTATATAAGTTAATATTATTGAACCTCAATACTGCATTGCACTGGTCATCACAAAGAGAAGATTCATCAAATTTGTCGACCGACATTAAAAAGCATGTAATGCAAGTAGTTCTGGAATCTGTGGGATTAGGCTGAATGCTGTTGTGATATGGTATGCTGTTGTGATATGAAATAACAACATTATTTTCAGTATAATTTTTCACTTGGATAAGTGAATAGACCCAGCCATATTTCCATGAATGTAAAAAAAAAGTAAAAGAAAATAAAAAATAAAATAATAATAAAAGAAATATTTAAGATTATGTTTGAATTCGTCATTATCTAAAATCATATTAAAAGGAAATAAAGTGCCTGAACAATCAGAACATATCCAGTCGTCGTTAAAACACAGTAAATGGGAGACATTGTTACAATTTATACATGTATTGAAGTCAGAGTTTATATAAAACAATTCGTTGTGACTAAAAGTACAGTAATATGTGTTATTAATTATACAAAGCAGACTGCCAATAAAAACTAAAGCACAAAGCCAAAGGACAAAGTCAATAACAAACAAATAACAAAAAAACACAATTCGACAATACATTACGTTACCCCTGTTCGCGTAATTCTTTTACCTTTTTCTGCAGGTCCTTTCTTTCCCTTTGAATTTTATGGGAGACATCATCGGTTATAAGATCTTATTGCCATGAAAGGGGTTATTTCTCAGTGCAGTTGCTGTTTTTCCAGATAAAATGACGTTCTTTTGTGAAGACTTGATGAGCTTGACATGGATTGGGCGACATTTTCCTTCCATACGCTTGCCTGTTCGATGCGCTCGCTCTATGTCTAAGGCAATAGGAGCTGGTATTTTCAAGTGGCTGCGAAAAAAATCCATAGCGAAATCCTCAATATTTTTTTTCCCTTCAACATCCTCAGGAATTCCATGAATAATTATATTGTTTCTTCTCATTCTGTTTTCCATGTCATCTATTTTCGCCTTTAGCATACGCACTTCCTCTGATTCGACCATATCCATTTTTACAGATTCTATTTCGTGCTTGTTTTCTTCGACAGATTTTTTCTAATTCTTGGACACCGTCTTCTAATAACGAACACTGCATTTTAGTTTTACTTACAGTTTTCTCTATGGTATCCATTCTTTTTTCAAAGCAATTGAGTTTAGTTTCAATTGTGTCCAATTTCTGTAGCTGCACAGTTATGTTCTCAAGCTGCTTATGAATAGCAATTAGCGTTTGGTCAGCTCTCCCGCCGTCGCAATTCTCAACACCAACTGAACCACCTGTCTCAGCCTGGCTAGAACTAACTGCACTTGTTTTCCCTTTTCCCGTAGATTTTTCCATATTTTTCTGATCAACCTTGCTTCTTGTTTTCATCATAATACATTTAATGTGAGTACTATAATGTGTTTAGCGTTGATTTTGTAATGTAAGGAATAATTTGAAAGAAAATGTGGAGCTCAAATCAAACGTTACTACCTAACACGACGCATGCTCACAATTCTGTTTCTGAAACTCCTTTTATGTTATTTGCTTTATTTATTAAAAATTTATTTCATGGGTATACTACTCTACTCTCAAATATAAAACATGAACAATAAAGCCACCTCTGGAATTTAGGCAAAGAACAGATTAACAGCATGACAACCAGATACTTCTCCCCTTAGAAGTATCACCCCTCACAAACGTGCCCCATGAACATACAAAGTCACCCCTTGCAAAGTTCCCCCTGCAAAGTATCCTCCTGACAAAGTCACGCCCTAACATACTCTCATCCTATCAAACGTGCAAGTTTATAAGGGGAGAGTTTTTAAGTGGAAAGTTGTAAGGGCCGACTTTGCTAGTAGGCGAGTGTACTGGTGTCCTAATGAAATGTTTTTTACACATGCATTTTAAGAATGCAGTTATACTTTTCCTTTGAGGGAAGAGGTACTGTTTCATGCTGTATATCTGCTGTAATCTGTGTTGTTTTTAACTAATTCATTTTGAAATATTGTTAAGATATTGTAGCAAAAAAGGGTACTATTTTAAATTTCTTGTAAGACCATATTCTTCAGTTGCAGATTCAGGATTTTGAAGTAGAGGGACCCAAGGACAGACTTTCACAGATCGAGGGTCTATATTATAACCTCAGTCCCACCATGGTCAGGGCTAATGTAAATAAATTTGTAATTAGGGTACCACCAAATTACCGGAAATGGTGGTACTCTGAGACTTAAATTTTAATATAATTTTCCTTTTTTTTCAGCATTTAAAAAAAAATAATTTACAAAAAATGTTTGGGGGGTGGGAGTCCCAGGAGTAGCGGCAGTTTGGCGCAGCGGTTGCGGTTCGGGCTTTCAATCGTAAGGTCTGGGTTTCGAGTCTCCGCTGTGCAGAATCGCTTGTGTCCTTGGGCAAGGCACTTTAGCTACATTGCTTCAGTCCACCCAGCTGTATCAATGGGTACTAGCAAACTGCTGGGGACTAACATGCGAGGGACTAGTGTCCTGTCCAGGGGGAGTACAACTCTATTCCGCTTCACACTACAGAAACCGGGGATAAGCTTCAGCCCTATGAGCCCTAGTGGCTCGGAAAGGATTTAGTTTATTTTAGTTTAGGGAGTCCCAGGCTAGCAGGGCCCACTTGAATCCGCCACTGTTCTTTGTTTCAATTAATACCTTCTTTATTTTTCAGTCAAAGGGAGAATGCAGTAATGAGCACTTCAGGTCAGAGGTTCATTGAGATATCATTCTGTTCTTATCCAAATGAGGTGGACTTTGTTGAGTTCAGGCATTGCAAATTACCTGCTAATTTGCAGCAACCAAATGATAACATGGAGAAACAAACAACCATAGAGTTTTGCAAATAGTATGGGGTAAGTGTTGGATTTCATTGACAGCACAAAAAGTGGGATCTTTTGTCTATTTTGAAAAATGTTATCATTCATATAATTTGACCTATAATTAACAGTACTAGACAAATACCCTATTCTTTAAGATTTCAAATGAAGCCTGAAAAGGGTTTGTTTTGTTAATCAGAGTTGGTTAGTCAGCATTTAAAAAAAAATAAACTCATAAGCCTAATTCTGGGTTTTATTGCCAACAACGATACATTTACGTTGGTAAAAAGGGTATTTTGGACTCTTCTTTGGTTAAAAAAATTACATTTTTGTTTAAAAAAAAAGATTAAAAAGTGCACCTAGATATTCAAAATTTTGTTTTATTGGGGGCTTGGCAAACGCCAACTCTACTAAGAAGGACCGTATTATTATGCCATTGTTTGAATAATAATTTCAATTTGTTTCTTAAAGAGCCACGGTTGGTGTTCCCGAGGAATCTCCTGTCCATATTCACACAATCCTGATGTCATCCTAGACAATGCGCATTTAAACCAACGAAAAATGAAGCGTAAACGAAACCGAAAAAGAAAACATAGTGGAAATGAAAAAGACATTGATGACAAAAATACAGAAGATTCAGTGTTAAATAGTGACAATAAACATTGCCAAGAACATGAAATAAATGAAGAAACAAATGAAATGGAGTGTGAAGAAAAGGAGATAAATGCGTGCTTAATGCATATTGAGGCAGGTAGTAAACAAGAACTAAATACTGCTACTGAGATTAAAGAGCGATCTTTGGACAAGAGCAATTCAAATAGATATATGGCAGAAGGGAAGCACAGAGCAGGATTTGATGCTTTTATGACCGGGTTTTCGTTTGCAACTTTTTTAGGAAAATATGGAGCCTGGAAAGAAACTGAGGTAATGAATAATCAAATGAGTTTAGGGTCGCGCTTCCAAGTGGAAGACCTTACAAATCGATTGTACTTAAGTGGTAAATCTGTGCCGTTGTTGGTAGAAAAAAGTCATTTTTCTAAAACATCTAGCCATCACAGAGAGAAGTTTCAGAAGACTTGTCCACCAACATTCAAGCATGTAACGCAAGTAGTTCTGGAATCTGTGGGATTGAGTTGATTGCTGATACGGTGAAGTTTGGCATTATGGCAGACTGTAGCATTCAGTGGTGGTAATATGGAACACAATACAAATTGCATTATTTATCGGTATTTCTTGGATAAGAAAATAGACACATTTATATTTACATGAATGTATTTGAATATCAGTGCATGCAGAATGAACAGTTAAAGTGTAATTCCACAGCGAAATGAAGACATTGTTATTATTCGCTTTATACCAGAAATGCGTAGGCCTATGATGGAAGCACTGTATGAATTGGATGTTGCTGGCAAAATCTTTCCTTATTGTTTTATATCTTGTTGCTGTTTAATTGTTGTTATTCCTCTTAAAATAAAGCAAGGGCTCACTGTTTTTTTTTTACTGTTTTATGTGTTTATTAGGAGTTGTTAGAATATTTGGCCTTACAAAGACTATAAAATCCCAATAACAGAACAATTGCATTTTCTAATAATAATTTCCTTCTTTTAGTTACATATTTTGCCAGTTCAAACTGACTATGCATATTACAGTAGGACGGGAAACCAGGTACAGATTTAGGGAGGGGGACAGTTCTCCTGGTTTTGCCACTGCTGTCTTTTTATGTACAAAAATAAATACAAAAAATCATACTGAACACGATTCATTATTGGATATTTATTTATCTGCGTAATTATATTACATCTAGGCCTACAGCACAGGTATGCAAGGTGTGGGCCGTGTTACGAGCCTACTGATGGCCGTATACGGGCGCACTGCGAATAAAAGAAGTCACGTTGTTAGCGTCAAATAGAGAGTATGTTGTGTCATTTGTCTATGACTAAACCCACATATTTATAGTAACCAAACTATAACAGGCCGGATGTGGGACGACAGCGATTTTTTTGCGGCCCGCGAATATGAAATAAAAACTCTATGTGTGCGGTCTGCCAAGCAGCATTGGCAAGAAAGCACCTTGTTTTTTACGGCCTGACACCGATCATGTAAAAAGTAATATTAAAACTGGGAATAAAGTGGTGTAAAAGCAGTGCTTGCAGGTTTTTAGAAGCGCACCGGAAAGATCAAAGTTTGGGTGCGGCCCTCGGTGTTAAATCAGAAATTCTCTTTGGCCCGGACCGATTTTTTATGCCCACCCCTGGGCCCTGGCCTACATTTAAATTGGTGCCTCCACTCCTTGTTCAATAAATCCTGGATCTTCCCCTGTGTATTTTTCATTGAAAAACCATATAATTGTATCAAGGTTTTTATTTTCCAACCAAGAATGCTTTATAAAAAAAGAAACCCGGTATTCCTAAATAGTAGTATTGTTAGATCATATTACCATTTTTAATTACGTAAGTCTAAGTTTTTGATTATTACAGTATGTTCATTCTATTTGTAACATACTGAACTGTACTATTATACAAATTGCTCATTATTCCAACCGCTGTCATACGTACTTGTTTACTTAATTTCCAACAATTGAATTATTGAACTAAAGAATAATACTTTTTTTGTTAGACTTTCTCCGATGAAAATCTGCAGAACAATAGCCTTACTCATCTGCAATCATCTAAAATACAAATTATATCAATTATTAGTTCATATCGTATATCATAAACCCAGTAAAGGTCAAAGGGTGGTTGGAACTACCATAAACCCGGTAGCTCCCACCTTCGTTCGTCAGGAAAACTTCATCACCGACATTCAGTTGAACTGTTACTCCAGAGCTTAACTGATCATGTCCAGCAGGGTCACTACGATGTACAGATGTGAGCACTCGCCCATTTAACCATATTTTAACCCACACAGCAGCATCCCTGTACGACAAAAAACTAAACATGAAATAATACACACCGGAAATTCTACATGTAAATTTTCCGGTATTCTTATCAAAGTCATCTCCAACATTAATCTCCATTGATGTGAATAGAATGGTCGATTCTGAAGTTGGTACGTGAGTGGTGCGTACTGCAGTAAACGCAGATTTACGGACTTGCGGCGCCTGCAATCCTGGTTCACCTTGTTCTCCTTTTGATCCAGTCTCTCCTTGAGGTCCTGGCTGCCCTTTTTGTCCATGTGGACCTTGTTTACCAGGAGATCCGTCGCTTCCTTTATCACCTTTTAGACCCTCGTTTCCGGGTTCTCCCTTTTCACCTCTATCTCCTCTTTCACCTTTAATAAATTCACCCCTGTCACCCTTACTACCAGATGGCCCAGCTGGACCATATCCGCCAGGTGTTCCATGAACCCCGGGGATCCCAGGTTGTCCAGGTGGCCCATGACAGCACATGTTACAAGTTTGAGGGATGTTTTGCTCAGGTGTTGTAGTCGTAGACAAGCTTTCTGGTAGGCAAGTTAGTAAGCTAATCAGGCCAATTAATAGTGCAGATGATGTCAAAGATGAATCCATCCTACTTATTCTAAATAAAAAATAAAGAAATTTGTTCAATGCTTTGAAATTACTATTAGGCTAGGCAATCTAGCTCAAAAAATGGCCCAAAGTCAAACAAATTGCAAACAAAGGGGTTTTTTTTTAAATTTAAATATATATATGATGAGGGGATGAAATTCCACAAATCACAAAATAAAATGTATCTCTTTTTTGCTACCACACAGCAATTCCTAGGTACGAAATTATATAAAAAGCGCGTTTAAAAAGTACACAATTCTTGAGAAAGAATCAGCACTTCCAAATACGGTATATTAATTTGGAAAGCATGAATACCTTATATTTTATTGTTCTGAATGTTTAACTTTAAAGAAACCAACATTATACAAATGTTCAAGGAGTGAGACGATACGTGACCACTAATTAACTTTTACATACTATTTCAGTCAGGAACCATCTTAAATATACACTGTTCAGTGCTGAGCAAAACTGAAGTTTAGATATGCCCGGATCGCGAAAAGTCAAACGGCCCAAGTCATAAACATTTATCAACTCACATCTTTATTTAGAATTTGATTTTAGCAGCTAATTTTATGAAAGGGATGCATTATGTATCAAGTTTATCAAAATGTAAGAAAAAGCTAAAATTTTGTTCGATTATGACATGTCTAGTAGGTTTACTTCTGTCAAAAGTACTGTCGTTAACTTAAGACTCTAAAAGCTCAGATGTGGTAAGACACACTATTCAACAACTGAATTTCTATGAAATATTTTGTGTTTGATAATTAATGGGACTTTTTGTTTTATTAGATTAATGTGAGTGCCGATCACAAGATGAGTACAGTAGTATTGTTTGCGTTTCATAACAAACGTGTTTCTATACCAAGATACAAAAGGTTGTTCTTACCTCAATTCTCGCAATGGTCTTCCTGAAAAAGACAAATAGCTTAGGAACACAAAATAATCACATCAATGAGCCACCACGAAGGAGTTGTTTTATTTCATTATGGATAATCCGACATCGTCACGTGAACTACAATCATGAAATGACACTAATCATTGTCGTGTGCGCAATCTGAGTCATTGCATATACTAGGACACAATGATTAATATAGTAATTCAATTAGACTTTGACATACATATTGTTTGAACTAGAGACTGACATAGGCCTACATCAGTTTGTAAACGTTATTTTATGGTAAACAGCAATGCACTCCGTTACACCCCTGTTTTGTGAATTTGTATTGGAAAAAGTATGAAAAAAATGACGATTTTAGGGGCTGGTGCCGTGAACTTGAGAATATAGAAAATAATGTATGTATGTAGTATGTATATATACATATATAGGCTATTATATACATACAAAATAAAACAAAATATAAAACAAAAAAGTAATAATAATAACAGTGCTCGAATCATACTAGAACTTTAATGTGCCAATTTCTTGCACAGTGCTCGAATTATTGCAACGAATGTTTTGAATACTCCTGTAGTGTTTGTCCACACTTTACATATAATCTATTGAATACATGCATACAAAGGCCTATACTATATATATATATAGTTGGCATAACACACACATATATATATATATATATATATGTATATATATATGTATATATATATGTATATATATATATGTATATATATATATATATATATACTATATATATATATATATATATATATGTATA